TTGAATTCGGTAAGTCTATGTCCCCACTCCCACTCCTCCACAAGAGAGTCCGTACGGGTGGTGTCAACCACTGACGTTGCCCCGAACGTGAGACCTCGAGCCACGTCGTGCGCCACCTCGTTAAGATGGACCTCTGTGTGGTCGACGGGTGTGTGGGCGGGAAACCGGAGAATGCATGCAATTTGGTCGTCAGAGCAGGTTTTGCCTTCTGTAAGGACTTTCAGCGCCACTGGAGGATTCCTACCATTTCCGAAATTTTGGACTGCTGTTTGTGAATCACTGATAATATACTGGGCATCGGTATGAGCTATGGCGAGCGCGATAGCGACCTCCTCTGCTGTATCCGCGTCATTTGTATTGATCGAAGCGCTGGTTATGCATTTGTGCGTATGGTCTACAACCGCAGAAACAAAACGGCGATAGTTTCGATAGCGCGCTGCATCGACGAAGACCGCCTCCTTATTGCTTCCATAAGTTCGGAGCATAATTGTGGTTCTGCTGATTCTTCTACCTTTGTTGTGATGCAGGGTGCATGTTCTTTGGCAATGGCGGTATCATGAGCTTAGTGCGGATTTTGCGTGGTATGTCGCATTTCATACCATGCTGTGCGTGGTAAGAAATGCCGAGACTGTCGAGAATTTGGTGACCTGCTTTTGTAGCTCAAGCGCTCGTACTGCGAGATCTGTTGCGCTTCAATTATTTTTCAACCGTGTTACGAAGGCCTAGTCTAAGAAGGAGTTCCGTGCTGGTACTGTGCCGAAGCCCTATAGCGCCTGTTTGTAAACTCGTCTGATGAGTGCGTTGAGTTTAGCTCTTTCCGCCGCGAACAATCGATGGTAGGCAGCGACATGAGTAATGTGGCTAAGCACGAAGGAGTGGATAAGCCGGTGAATACTACATTCCTTCATGACCTGATGTTTATTACTTATTCTTTTAATGAGTCGCATCGTTCGCGCAACATTCAGCAGATCGTTTTTTTTTTTTTTTTGCAGTGACAGCAGTTAGGCCCAGAATTCCCCCTTTTTTTGTGGCAAAATTGTTACCAGGTATTGCTGGAAAACATAACTCTTGGGGCCACAACCTAGCCGGCACAGCAAACGACAAGCCCCGATTGATTTGAATCATTTGAAGTTCATTGCATCGCACTTTTTGCATGTTCTGTTAATTTGAAAACCCGCTTGATTCGAATATTTCTCATGGCACCAGTGACTTCAAATTAACGAGATTTCAGTGCTGTTAGTTTTGTTTCCGAAATTCTGAAAACACCCTCTGGCACAGACTTGGCATGAGGTTCGCCAACTTTTCAGGAAATATAGCAGCATATGCAGCTGCCAGGGGGTGCAGTTTGGCACAATTGGCAAGACCAGCAATTTGGCAAGACCAGCAAGTGAAAACTGCTTGGACCACAAAGTGTCGTCAGCTGTGGACTTTCTCCGTTTCCTTGGGAATCACCAGGCAGCGGATTCCGGCACGATTTAGCTGGCTATCATTGAGCTGATATCGACAAACGTGTTGCCTTGCGGTGACACCTGTTGACGCGACTGCTGGGGAAATCGGTGCGGCCTCTTCGAAACACAATCGAGCACAGCGGTACAGCTGCACTGATGGCACATGACTGATCCAGAGATCGGCTTCTCTGCTGTTTAGGGAGTGATGTGACGAAGCAGCTATAAACTTGAGATCAACGAGTACCGTCCGCTCTTTGGTGGCCCGGTCGACAGGGTACGACGGGGCCGCCACTCGGGTAATGTGGATTGTGCTTTGGATCTGTTGTGTCGTTTCAGGCGCTATGTTTCTAAAGTCTTCCTCGTGTGGTAACGTCCCTGAAACGTTTTCCCCATTGGAAGTGTGCCAGCTTGGGCTAGTTGGTATGGCACGACGATAGTTATAGCGCGAGAACAAAACGACGACACAGAGACTGTCTTTCGTGTCCTTCTTGTCTCTGTGTCGTCGTTTTGTTCTCGCGCTATAACTATCGTTCCTCATTGGCGCTTGCATTCGTCAGTCTTATGATTGCGGAAGGTGTGTGCGCGTTGCGCGTTGGTGTATCTTATAATCGGCAACCTGCAAGGAACGCGAGAACATCGCTGAAGGCGAAATTGTGTTGATACAGTCTCTCGTTTTCTTTAAACTAATTGCAGTATTGCTTCGGCTAATCAAAGTTATAATGTGAAGTCACGTCCTCCGAAATCATCGCGTAAAATCTGAACCCACGCCTTTGATGTTTTGTGCAGGCACCAGTATTAGGCTAGGCACACTACCAGTATGCATAGGCGGGCTCAAAAATGGGGGAGGGGTAGGCGGTTGCCTGTCTTGGTCACTTGAGGGCCTGTAGGGCCTGTACAGGCACAATCCGCAAAGCCGCACCGCACGTGCCGGGACACCTGCCGCACACAGGTGGAGAACGAAAGAGCGTCGCTGCAGCACGCAAGCGGAGGGCAAAAGAGCATCACCGATACGCTCTTTCGTCCTCCGCTTGCATGTGGCAGGTGCATGTGTGGTGCGGATGTGCGGATAACATGTGTACAGGGGCGCGAAAACCACCCAGTGGCCGAAATGTAGTTGTGGAGAGGAAATTGTGCATGAGTGTACGACGAACACGAAGCCATGAGAATTTTTCGAAACGGTGCAGTGATAGCGGAGCTAGACGCGTTTGATTATCAAAACTGTGACAACCCAACGCCGACTAAATTTCAAGGCCGAAAGGCTGCCGCAGTGACGTCAGAGGGTGGGGGCGCAGTTAGGCCGCGAACGCGGCGGAAAGCCTGTGTTTCGTTCATGTTTTAGGAGAACCAACGATCCCGCTTTCGCAGCTGCTGTGGCTAGATTGGGCCGAATAAAAGATGCGGAAAAAAAAGTCTTACTGAGCATGCTCATATGGGCAACTGGGCCCCCAACCACTGACGTCACTGCGGCAGCCTTTCAGCCTTGAAATTTAGTCGGCGTTGGACAACCACACCTTTCACTCTCTCCTGCGCTTCACTCTGCTGGTATCCTCTGCCATGCCGCCTTTACCCTCTCGCCATGCACCCTTCCCATGCTCCTCCCAATCTCGCGTGGCATACGTCATCGCTGACGCGCTGCTTGAAACACAACAGTCTACTTCTGGTTGCAGCGACTCTGCAGCCGTCAACTCCATCAGTTACGTTGTAGGTGTGTGCCTTGTCGTATGGGTCCAACTAACACCACCTAGAAAAGTCTAGGTGGTGTTGGTTGCCGGACGTGTGCACCCACGCGGATAACACGACAAACAACAACAAGCAGCGTGAACAGCTGTTTGCAGACTGGCCGGAAGTCATAGACTCTTGCTCGATCATTCATTTGGCTCGGCGTGTTAGAGGTGTGACACGAGACGCGCCGTCATGAAACATGCCGTTCGAGCATTTGATTGTGCTTTGATCTTGGCGGGAGGTGTATGGTAGGGAATACAGTCCCTCCTATATGTTATTTACCGCGTGCTTACAGGCGGTTTTCAGAGGCCTGGAATGGGAAGAGCTGGGGATAACAGTTAATGGAGAATACCTTAAGTAACCTACGCTTCGCCGATGACACTGCATTGCTGAGTGACTCGGGGGACGAATTGCAACTCATGATTACAGAGTTAGACAAGCAAAGCAGAAAGGTAGGTCTTAAATTTAATCTGCAGAAAACGAAGGTAATGTACAACCACCTGGGAAGAGAGCAGCGTTTCGAGATTCAGGTAATAGTGCACTTGAAGTTGTAAAAGACTACGTATACTTAGGGCAGGTAATAACCGCGGAGCCAAACCACGAGATTGAAGCAATTAGAAGAATAAGAATGGCATGCATTAGGCAAGCACTCTCAAATCATGACTGGTAGATTGCCTCTATGCCTCAAGAGGAAGGTATATAACAGCTGCATCTTGCCGGTACTTCGCTACGGAGCACAAACCTGGAGACTTACAAAGAGTTCAGCTTAAATTGAGGACGACACAGCGAGCGATGGAAAAGAAAATGACATCTCTGGCTCAAATGCAACTATTAACAATCTACTCGGAGATTCGGAATCTGCATAAAAAAATTGAATAAGTGTATAGAAGCTAATCCATTTCACCCAACTATAAGAAAAAAAACATTTTTAAGAGCCTCAGCCTAACCCTAAAACTCTTTTTTATATTATTATTATTAAAATATTTCTGGCAACTTGTGCTGGCACTAGACTGAGCAGTCTGGAAGAGTGTGCACATAAAAAATAGGAGGGAGCATAGGTCATGGTCAGCCTTCATACAACATTTCAGACACCACTGTCTACAATTACCATTGCCTACCCAACAATACCTTGGAATGCACGAAGCCACAAATGCAAAAGGCAATGACCGATACCCGCCATAACCTTTCGTCACTCAAAAGTTGAGTGCTGCCCTCAACTCGCCAATACCACAAGTGCCGCGTAAGGCCTTCTGCCTTTAGGTAACTACAGAGACTTGTGGGTCAATGATGCCCACTTCCGCATGATTACGGCGAAGCCTGCAAGGATAAGCATGAGAAAAGAGTGAATGTGCGATAGTAAAGGCGAGACCGTCGAAAACGCCAACGACAACCTTTTCACACCGAGTATGTTTCTCTGTCAGCTCAGCTGTGGAAGGGGGCGTAGAGCTGTTTTATGCATACTGCGTGCTTTTAATAAACAAATGCCAAATCAAATCCTGCAGTCTCTAGGCTGCCGGCCTGTTACATGACAAAAGCTTTCAGGTGCACACCGCTTTGTAGAAATGAAAGCAGCAGGCTGCTGCCGAGTTTAGCGGTAGGGCACAGAGGAACTCGCCGCACGGCTATAAGCGTGTGTACGTACTCATTATACAAATGCGGCAAACAGTTACTGCATTAAGAAGTGGTGCAGTAAGTGAAGTGCACCGCAAGGTGCCCCTTCTGCGTAAAAATACGAGCACAAATGAATCTGCAGTTTCGCCACACGGGAATTTACACCGGGCTCCACAATAGCTGCAAACAACAACAACAAAAACCACACACAAAGCAGAGGTTGCAACATTTCTATTCATTTAATTGTCCAGTGGTTGACAACCGGGTACAAGAAAACTCAAGCGTGTAGAAAAACAAAACAAGAAAGAAATTTAATCAACCTCATACTTAACACGCAACGGCAACAGACAAAATGTGGCATAGCGCCAACTCGTACATAACCTTTATTTACAATTGTACTTGATGCCGCTGATCACAGAAACAGTTTTTCATAATCTCGCTACAAAACGAAAAACAAGTGCAAAAAACAAACTGCCACCGCTTAATGTACGATTGAATCATCGATGCACTTTTTTTTTTTTTTGAAATTATTCACCTTAAGTTGCATTCCTCTCTCACGAGAGCTGGAGATTGCATGCTATCGTTCCTTGGAGAGAGTTTCCTATCCCATCCGTAGATCCCTAAACGCCTACTCAAGAGCAGAATGGTTGAAAAGAGTTCACACTTTTTCATGGAAGAACTGTTTGCTCACAATCTGCACAGTGAAGGCAAGACTCGTAAGGACCAAAAAAAAACACACTACAGAAACAAAGAGCAGTGTTTGTAGTCTACTGTGAAGATGAGAACAGAAAACACTGCGAAGAGCGCCTCCACGTGACTTGGCAAATTGCATATATGGGTTTCAAAGCCTCTTCTAGAAAAATACCTCGGGAACCTTTTTTAGCAGTAACAGGAGCAAAAAACAAAGGCAAGAAAGAAAACACGAAGAAAAATGAAAGAGGCATGTCTCATTTTATACCCCTGCATCTTGCCTTCACTGACTTCATCATCGTAACATTTATCCCCAAGAAATACAATACAGGAAATGGCAAAACACTACAGAAGAAGTGTGTGGAACCACTTAAACAGTCAACATTTTCTGATGCTACATATATACACATCGTACACATCCATTTGGTGGCGTGGTGGTGCTGGTGATTTCAGCTGCACAGCGGAGCTGTGTGGTGGTTGGTGGTGTGAGTTAAGTTTTTTTTTTTTTTTTCGATCTTTTGGTTGCTCCAGGCACGTGAAAAAAATGTTAGAAACAGAAGGTGGACGAGTAAAAAATAATTAAGAACTTAATGAATGCTCAAAATTAAATTGTTAAAAAAAAAAAGAAATGGGGACACACAGCAGTGGAATAGAGTAGCGACCTTCCTACTGAGGAATGTACGTCACAGGGCAGCAAACCGCAGAAGTCGCAAACTTTCGACGCATCTCCCGCAACGAAGCGGTGCCAGATGCCAATGTACGGAGAAAAATATCGGGTGTGACACGATGCAACGCTCCCACATTTCAACGTGCATACCTTTAAAAGAACCTTTCCAACTATGGCACCGACCATGCGTTAACATAGCTGTTACACCTACTTCAGTGAATGAGAAGTGTGCAGCGTCGTAGCAGTTGCCTGCTGTTGACAAGCTGATGGTAAATCTCGTACAGGATTTTGGTTTGGAACCCACATGTACACAATTAACTATAAAGAAAACCGTACAATAACGGAGTGTACTTCTAATGTAAGGGATATTATACGTAGAAGTAATATGACCTATAAAGACATTTTTTTTCGTTGTAGCATACACCAAGAGTCATTAAGGCCAAGCCGCAAGCAGAAAAAAAATTGTTTCAACACGACAGCTCAGCTGCGGCAGAAACTGATCGCTGTCGCAGTAGCTGCCGCAGTGAAGCACGTACAAGCTGCTGTGTGGATATGCACTGGATGCTTTCAGAGCCGATGCTATATGAAACTTCGTGCCTTTACGCAAGGCCATGCTCAAGTCAGCAGGAAGGAAAAGCATTAAGCTTTTGTTGCGTAGGCCATCTAAGAACACTTGCAGTTGTTGAGGCTAGAAAAAGTTGCCGATACGGTCGTCACAAGCGCACTTTTGATCTTGCTCACTATATAGAAACGGTGCATGTAAGCTTTTTGATTCGCTGTTTCGTACCATGTGCTTCTGAAAACTTTCCGGCTGCTCTCTTTCCACAAATTTACATTTCAAAACTCTCGTTTTGTGGTGAAGCGGTAGACAAGGGAGCACTCTCGTACGATGCTAAAAGAGAAAAAAAAACAGTGCCCTATTACTTGTGAGGTATATTTGCTCGGTGACTGAGAAATCTGGAGTCTTTGAGTCATGTGCCTGCATCCTACATGCACAGAAAAAGGTTTACCAGCTAACCACATGTTAGCGTGACTTGCATCCAGACAGTAAAAAAGCAGGCAAAGAGTGCCTATTGCTATCGGCATCATACACACAGAATTTGGGGTTGTTTCTCCATTGCCTCTAGCACAATCCCATCGCTACTCGTGAAGTTTGCTTAGAAAGCTTTACTACAACTTCTCAGACTCTTCCAAGTCAGTCAATATTTTTTTACTCTTAGCAGTTGGCGATGATAGAGGGAATACTTGAGAGTATGCAATATATAAAGAGTGCATGCAGTGAAGGTAACTCCCTTTCTATAGCGCTCTATCTGTCCAGCTGCCATCAAATGATTCAGTACTGTTTTGAGCCATTTCGATATAAACAGTATTGCGGGTCCCAGTCGATAGAGCCCCCACAAGAAAGTGTCCGACAAGATTGATTTGGCCGTCCACAGACTGTTCCCGCTCTTGCCGTCCTAATCACTGGGGTGATGCAATCTCGCCATTTTGAGAGATGCGTCGAAAGCGTCAGCGAATCAAGCTGGCGTTTGTCACCCTGTTGTGAGAATCACAGAGTGGAGGCACACACCAGGAGAGCGAGTGAGGGGGTTTTGCAGGCCTCCTCCTGTCATCATTTTTTCCTTTCTCCCTTAAAACTGGTACCACTTTTTATCCTTGTACTTGTTCATGAGCTGGTGCGTAGTGTTGGCAAAACTCTCAGCCTCGGTCATCATGCGAGCAGTTCGCTCTTCAAGCTGTGTGAGGGCCTCGCCACGTTCCGTCAGCCCCTGGAAAGCAAACGCAGGGAAAGCTTGTGAGAGAACGTGCGACAAAAAGATATGACGAGCAAGCGTTCGCACTCCTATGTGGGGTATTTCAAGGCCCGTTATACAGAATACATGACCTACAATCTTCCGTCTCAACTATGTTACTTAAACGTAGAACAGGGTTATGTAGAGCTACAACAATTACATTTCTTTACAATTAAATGTTAATCAATCTTGCTGGTTCTTATTGTGAGCTTATTCAGGAGGCTGAGACCCACTTTTCGGAGCAAGATTGAGCATCACGGCTACTTTTGTTAAGTCTTTCACATATAGTACAACAGTTTTGCATGGTCCTTTGGCTCAAAGTTGTATAATTGAGGTTCCGTTATAGTCGGGGCATGGAGAAAGTCTATTTTTGACTGATTTGCAATATGAAATATGTGAAACAGAGCGAACTCACCTGTCTAGCCCTCATGACTTCTCCAGCCAGCGTGCCAGCCTGTGCTTTCATGGCATCCATGTTGCCAGTGCTTCCAGGAATGTGGCGAGCAACAGTTTTTGATGGTTTGCCGCTTGCCTCGCCAACTGCACCATGGCAAGGCCATGACAATGGAAGATTAGCAAAAGGTGTAAACAAACAGTCTGGAAATTTGGGTGGATAGCAAACAAAAGCAGGAATCTGTCCCCGCATAGCGAATACGTGCACTCACAGAGTTCCTCTCGGTCTAGCATACTTGGTCCACCTCCAAATAGGCCTTTGAAGAAGCCCTGTTTTGGTGCTTCTGGCATTTCCTTATTTAAGAATATGGTACCAAGCATCTCCTGCAAGTTGGCACTGTAAAACGAGCATACAAAGTCAACCAAGAGTATTGAAAAGAAGCGTGGCACTCCTGTAACTACCTTAAAAGCAGTATCGAAATTGTAAAATAGAGCTTTATATTACACACAGTGGCATAGCACAATCTCAGTCCATGCCCAGGGCATAATTATGTGGCAATCATTAAATCAACTTTTGAAACTTATAAGTAATCATTCACCTCTTTACCTGCTTAGCACAGATACAGTCATTGCTGAACTTTTCAATTGCCTGAATCGATGTGCCTGACGATTGAGACGCCTCCGCATCTGAATTACGTATGCATCCTCCATGCCGGGCTCAAAAGTTTACAAGATGCAGGCTCAACAAAAAAGCCTAGTACAGTCGAACCCCTTTATAAGAGGCTTTTATATCAGAGACAAATGGGTATAAAAGAGACACCAGTGTGTCTGCAACAAAACACAGGTTGACAAGAAAATGCATACAAGGTACCCTGCTTATAAAAAACATACCCTATAAAAGGTGAGAATTGCTGCCAGGAGCATGCCTCTTGTAAACGGGTTTAACCGATCAGCCTACTTTTTCTGGGTGGCTATAATATAGGATTACTATTAAAACACCAAAGTGGACATCTGGGCACGTTGGTATTCCATGGTTAAGAATAGTGATAGCGCAATAAAAACAAAGGCACAAAGAAGGTACACACACACAGCGCTATGTGTGTGTGAGTGCGCTATTACCATTCTTTACAGTTAACAGTATGTTGATTGTGCAGGTAGAGCAATGAAAATTCCTGTCGGGTGCCCAAACTGAGCCACTGCTAAACTTCTTTTGTTGAACCATGTCCCATAATCTCTCGATCCTGCCTGTGTATACACAAGTCCCAGCCCAATGATGTCGATATACAAGAACACCAGAAACTCTGGTTGCTCAAATCATTTGCTATTCGATTGATCAAAGTGTTGACCAAAGCAAGCCTGCTTATCTCACACCTCGAACTAGCAAGCCCACACGTTGACCTGCCTGCAGCTGTAGCTTGGCTGTGTGCTTTTGCAACACCAAGCCTAGCTGCTTGTGATATGAGCCATTTAGCGCAAAAAAACAAAACAAGAATTCGTTTTCCTTTCTCTTCTTTTTTCTTGGGATGAAACATTTTTTTTAACGTTTAGACATCTCTAAAGAAGTCTGAAACAATTGCATAGCAATTGTAAGACATTCCGACCTTGAGCCATATCACTAAGCAGAAGCAGGGTCGCTCGGCAATCCACATTAAAAGAAAAAAAACAAAAATTGGGGGACCCTTAAGCTTTCCTTTTAAGAGTTGAACGCGATAGCGAAATCTGGCCCCTAGTGCACCCTTCAATCGCCAAGTGCATGCTTATTACCGTAATTACTCGAATATAACGCGCACCTTTTTTCCGGTTAAGCGAGTTCATAAATCGCATGCGCGTTAGAATTGAGTACGAACAAAAAAATTACTGCCAGTCTATTGCCATCGGCAAATCTAAAATGGCCGCCCCCTACGTGCGTCGGCATGGCGCGTCGTCCATTTCTGCCTATGTGTTTCTCAAGTGCGGCACTTCGTACGTGTGCTGAGCAGTTCGTCATCTAGTGGTGCATTAGCACCGACGGCGTGGAATGGCCGACTCCAAAAACTCGAGTGCACCATGATGCCGCTTTTAATAGAAAAGTCATCGCGTGTGCAGAAACGGACGGAAATCGGGCCGCATCGAGGGTCGTTCGGAGTTCCCGAAACGTGCGTGCGGGACCGGCGGAAACAAAAGCAGAAGATTTTCGACAGCAAAGCTTTACGCAAAGGCTTCAGTGGACCACAGCAGGGTCGGTTTCCGCAAATTGAAGAGCTGCTCGGCGAGTATGTGCTTTAGCAGCGAGCAGCACAGCGGCCCGTGACGGCAGAACTGCTCCAAGTGCGGGCTATGCAATTAGTCTTAGAAAAATGCCTAATGCGGAGCCAGTTTTAAGTGAGCAGGTGCTGGCTTAACTAACTTTATGAAGAGGAAAGGCTTTTCCCTCCGAAGGGGAACATGCATATGCGAAAAGTTTTGCGGAGGAGTACGATGAAAAGCTTCACAGTTTTCAGAGGTTCGTCCTAAACTTGCGGCGCAACAACGACTACCTGCTTGGGCAAATCGGGAATGCCGATCAGACGCCTCTTTACTTCGACATGCCTGGCACCACAACCGTCGAGAAGAAGGAAGCGAAGCAAGTTCGCGTGCTGACATCGGTCCACGGTAAAACTACAGTGACGGCAATGCTCTGTTACACGTCAGATGGGCACAAGCTTCGCCCGTACCTCATATTTAAATGGAAGACGCTCCCGAAAGGAGTCGTTTTTTCGAATGGTGTGATCATGCGGGCCAGCGAGAAAAAATGGGTGCGCGTTGCAATCGATGTCTTACGTTTTTTTTTTTTTTTTTCGCGGTGGAAATCGGGTGCGCGTTACAATCGAGGGCGCGGTAGAATCGAGTAAATACGGTAATATGTTTTGTTACATACACATGCACGGACACAAACACGCACGCAGTAGATTGGACCAGAGCACACTATTATCGCCGAATGGGCTCGTTTTCGTCATGACACCTGTCGAACAAAATGGGTTAAAGGGAACCTGAAACACTTTTTCAAGTAATTATGGAATGAATTTACTAGAAAAACTTATTGCCTCACGAATTCAACACCACAAACATTTTAAAAATCTATCAAGTGCGAGTAGAGTTACAAATGTTTGCCGCATGCTGCAATTGCATTCTCTTTTCTCTCGCCCCGATGAAAACGCTGGAAGCTAAGCAGAGAGGGGTGGCAGAGCAAAGAAACTACCGCACCTCGTGACCTTGAGCACTTTTTTTTTTCTTTGACTGTGCGGCTTTTTCAGTGTGATCGCACGCGCACGCGTGGAAAAGTAGCGGCCTCCTGTGGCTATCTCGGTAACTTGAGTTTTAGGTCACAGACGATTTTTCACTCACAACCAACGGGGCTGACGCCGGCAGCGGGTTTTCTGCGACACGAGCTCTTTAACGCTATCATGTTAAAGCAATATATTCTTAACTCAAAAACAGTGCAAACAACATATTACTAACACAAGAATACAAACAAAAACACTGACTGGCAACTAAGGTGTTTGTTAAAATGAACACACACTTTTATACACAATCATCACCCGTGCACTCCAACACCATTATACAAAAACAAGCATGACATGATCGTGTACAAAAAAATGTTCAATTTAATAAACTTCTTAGCTACATATCTGCACATGCCCTATTTTTCTGGCTATACCCATGAGTTAGCATCAAGCTAAACTGACCTGCTTAATTGTCTGTTCCACTAGACTACGTTCTGAAGTTGAATGCGAATATTGCAGAATCTGTGCTGTGCACAGAAAGACAAAATAAAACATTAAATGTAGTGCAATGTGTTGCTCGTGTGAGTACAGTCTTTTCACTTTCACAGCTACAGCGAGACATTTTCAGCACAATGAGAAAAAAACTCACCAAAAATCTGAAGAAATGGTGAACTTCTGTAATTCTGATGGGGAGCACAAAAACATTCCGTGCCCATTCTTGCTAAAGCAAAAGGTCCTTGCAATTCTGCAAAGTAATGCGAAAGCTTTTTGAGGGGCGTGACATGGTTGAAAACATGCTAAGCATGGAGCTTTAGCCAAAATCAAGGACTGCCTTGATTGAAAATTTTATGAGTGATTGCACAATAACTGAAGAAACAACGATGGAAATGAAGAGAAAGAGTAGGTTTGTGCAAATATGAATTTTAGAAGCAAAGCTCCTTATTGTTGAGACTTGTCCCCCCCCCCCTCGCCGTAGCCAGCCACTAGTACTAGAAGCGCTCAGTACAGGCGCAGCTGTGCCCTTACTTATACTTTGAATGAAGGCCACTAGATGGCTCTGCAGCACTCGCTTCATTCCTTTGAGAGAGGCAGTGAGCAAAATAATAATCGATGGTGAAGTTCCCAATGGATGGAAACTTAGCAGGATGAGCATGATCTATAAAGGAAAGGGGGACAAAGCTGACATAAACAACTACCGTCTTATAACAGTGACATCAGTGGTCTACAGGCTGGCGATGCAGATTATAAAGGAAAGACTGCAGGCATGGATAGAAGATGAGGGGATGCTGGGGGAACTGCAGAATGGGTTTCGAAAACACAGGAGGTTGGAAGACAATCTGTTCTCACTGACGCAGTGCATCGAAATAGCAGAAAAGGAACACAGGCCTCTGTGGCTAGCATTCTTGGATATCAAGGGAGCGTACGATAGTGTGGTTCAAGAGGAATTGTGGGGAATACTGGACACACTAGGCGTGGAACATGTAGTCACTAATCTTTTAAAGGGTATCTATAAAGGTAACAAGGTAGTTACAAAGTGGGAAAAACAGGTATCCAAGCCTGCAGAGGTAAAACGGGGGCTTAGGCAGGGGTGCCCCCTGTCACCCTTATTATTCATGATGTACCTACAAGGATTAGAGGCAAAATTAGAGGGAAGTGGGCTGGGCTTCAACCTCTCTTTAGTCAAACAAGGAAAACTTATTGATCAGGCACTACCAGCATTAATGTATGCAGATGATATAGTGCTAATGGCCAACAACAAGGAAGATTTGCAGAGATTGATGGACATCTGCGGTAATGAGGGAGATAGGTTAGATTTTAGATTCGGTAAGGAAAAATCAGCAGTCATGATTTTCAATGACAACGAAGGTAGTGAGCTTAGGATACAGGAGGTCACGCTAGAGATAACAGATAAATACAAATATCTGGGCGTATGGATAAGCAATGGGACCGAGTACCTGAGGGAACACGAAATATACGTGACGACTAAAGGTAACAGGAATGCAGCAGTGATGAAAAATAGGGCACTGTGGAATTACAATAGGTATGATGTTTTGAGAGGAATATGGAAAGGGGTCATGGTTCCTGGGCTGACGTTCGGCAATGCGGTCTTGTGCATGAGGTCAGAAGTTCAAGCAAGATTAGAAATTAAGCAACGTGGAATAGGTAGGCTTGCTTTAGGAGCTCACGGGAATACAACAAATCAGGGAGTACAAGGTGATATGGGATGGACATCATTTGAGGGCAGGGAAGCTAGCAGCAAGATAAAAGTTGAGAAGCAATTGAGAGAAATGAAGGAGGAGCGTTGGGCTAGGAAGGTTTTCAGCTACTTGTACATGAAGAATGTCGATACAAAATGGAGGAAGCGAACCAGGAAGTTGACTGGTAAATACTTAGAAAACAGCAGGTGGCCAAACCAAAAAGAACTATCGGTTAAGAAGAAAGTGAAGGGAACGGAGACTGACATGTGGAAAATGGGCATGATTAAGAAGTCCGCACTAGAGATCTATCAAACTTTTAAGCAGGAAATTGCCAAGGAAAGGATCTATGATAATACTCGGGGTAGTTCTATACTGTTTGAGGCAAGGACGGGAGTACTGCGAACCAAATACGAAGGGGTAGACACAGTATGCAGTGCGTGTGGAGAGGAAGAAGAAACTGCCGAACACTTGATAATGTTCTGTAAAGGGCTTCACCCTATAGTTCAGGATGATGGCGCAGAGTTTTTCAAAGCACTGGGGTTTAGGGACCGGGAGGGCAAAATAGACTTTAAGCAAGTAGACTTAACTAGAAGGAGGTTACCTGATTGGTGGCTAAAGTCAAGGTACGAGTGAAAATTAAACTCTTCACTGCAAAGTACGAATCCTCAAACTCACTTTTTAAGGAAAAAAAATAAATATAGTTTTGGGTTCATTAAGTATTACGGCTTGGTGGCGCTAGCCACCGCCCGATCTAAAGGGTACAGCCATATCCATCCATCCATCCATCCATCCATTCCGGCGCGTGCTCTAGTTGCTGTCATAACGAAGATTTAACGAAAGCCGCATCTCGCCACCACATTTTGTTAAGAGTGTTACCCAAAGCTGAACTGAAGAAGACAATGAAGTGCGCGCAAGAGCGAGAGAACGTGAAGCGCGTGAATTGGAGAACACGGACAGGCGAAGCCAGCATGGCTGGCGAAGCCAGTAACGCAAGAAGTGTGGCCTGAGGGGACCAAAACAAACCGAGCTGGTGCTACCAGCTTGGTTTGGAGACTGCTAGGAAGCCAAAACTACAAACTGCACTCGCTCTCGGCGTGCTTTCTTTTTCAACAGTCGTCACTCAGTGCACTTCGACAATATTGTGACGATGGAACACGTTTCTTTACAGTATGGAATAATTGCAATAGGTACAGCTCAGAGCCAAAAACAGGAGACTGAGCTGCTTTCGAGTTAGCCCTGCTTCGACCTCGTTCTCTTCAAGTCTACCAAAGAAAAAACAGGAAGCTGAATGCAGGCAGTCAATTACATTATCGATGCGAGGGAGGGGATACACGTCCTTCTTGGTTATAGAGTTGAGACGCCGATAATCAACTCAGAACCTCCAGGACCAGTCTTTTTTTTTTTATCAAGATAACAGGCGGAGCCCCACGGACTAGACAATTCTTTAATTACACCAGTGGCTCGCATCTTGCCAACTTGTTCAGCAATAACTTTGCGTTCGGACACAGAAACGCGATAGCACTTTTGTTGGAGAAGATGAGCAGAGCCAGTATCAATCTTGTGACGAGCGCACATGGTCGGTATCTGAGCCCTGTGCACCTTCTGTGCAAAATCAAATGCTTAAGCATGTCTCGCCAGCAGTGCAACCAGGACTTAGCACTTCTGCGGGGAAATGGACTTTAACCATTTTTTAGAGTTCAGCTTCCATACCAGAAGTTTCATCGGGATCCGCCTTTGTAAGATTGCTTAAGGCTCCAACGCAGGTACTGCTCTGCTTTTCGAACAGGGCAAGGCACATACCAGCCGGCAGTACAATCGACTAGGGTGAGCTGTTTATCACCCATAATTGAGCCTTCTCTTCTGCGAGAGATACAACACAGTGTGGTACAAAGATGTTTTTCTTGACACGAGCTACGGGCAACAGCTCAACACTATGTCACGTGAAGTAAAACTCGAGTCGGTTTCCAAAGCTGTCACTTGTACTCTAACCGCAGACCACGCTGGCAGAAGGGCATCTTTAGCAACAATGATGTTACCTTTCTCACAATCAGGCTGCTGGGCGAGAGTAGACAACAGAACCTCACCTGCTACAAATTTCACGATCGCACGACACTCTCGCAATATGTCTATGCCAAGTATAACGTAGTGCGTTGATTGAGCCAGTATTGTGAATTCCGCCTTGAACGTTTTACTGGCAATACTAACAGACACAGTGCAGACACCGACTGGACGCAAGAATTTGCCGCTCACTGCCTGAAAAGTGGAAGGTTCATCCCAATAAAACATAACCTTGCAGCCAAGTCGTTGCTTAAAGACTAAACTCATCACAGAAACACTTGCGCCAGTATCTATGAATGCCATCGTGGGTACGTTGTCAACAAGTATACAAACCTTATTCTGAAGCATAGAAACTGGTGGAGGCATACTTTGATGAAAATCGGTATGTCCAGCAACCTCACTTCCATCGGCCGCACTGGCTAGTTTCCCGGTCGCAGAGTAGAAAGCTGAGACTGGCGCCATGGAGATGGTGACTGAGGCGGACACTTGGTGGGCAGCGTGAAGCAGCGCACAGACACAGGCGAATCATTGCGGTTGATCGGCTGGCAGGTGTGCCGCTCGTCACTTGGGTTGGGGAGCCAGTAGGCATAGTAAGGCCGTTGGCTTCGACGTGCAAACGTCGCGTATCACTGAGGGAATGTCGAACGTGGATTACGTCCCATAGGGCGAAATCGGGCAATATGTCCACGAACACTGCACTGGTGGCAGAAGGGCCGTTCACGAGGCATAGAGAATGCCGCTGTATGTTGAGGGTAAGCGGCGCTCTGTTCTCACTAAGACGCAAAAGGAGGTGGATGGCTGATGTAGCCGTTACGACGGCGGGGCGACTCTACATAAAAAGACGTCGGAGGTGGAGCCCTTAGCTGAGGACCGTGGTTGGGATAGCTGCACTCGTCAAAACTCGCAGCATTAACACTTGTGGACGGCGTATCACACGGTGGTCCTCGGGCGTTCACGAGTACAGAAATGTGACCACGAAGTTCCTCACGTACAATGAGGCGAATCGTTGACGAAAGGTCGGCAGGCAAAGAGCCTTGGCACACATAGACAATGGCGACGGTCGCAACATTGGCCAGGCGTCCGAACTTCGTAGTGATGCGGCGAGTCTTTAGGGCCTCAAACGTTCGGCAGTACTCGATCACATCAAACCACACAGAATCGAGACTCTCCTTGTCGATAAAGAAGTCCTAGACGCCTTCCGCAATTCCTTTGGGAATGTGACCCACCTTGTCCTCTTCCGTCATGTTGGCGTCCACATACTTGCACAGTTTCAGTACCTCTTCAATGTACGTTCTGCAAGTCTCACCACAAGCTTGAGCTCTCTGTGACAACATTTGCTCTGCGCGTTTCTTCTTCATCGTAGGGTCGCCAAAGCACTTCTTGATCTCCTCCATGAATTGCTCCCATGTTGTCAAGGTGTCTTTGTGATTCTTGAATCATACTGAAGCACTGCAGTCGAGAAATAGGGCCACGTGGGGCAACTGGCTGGCGGCATTCCAGCCATTGGCTCGGGTCACCCTTGATAGTGGCTGAGCCATCCTTCAACGTCCTTGCCAGGTTTTCCTGTGAATGTGCGTGGCTTTTGGTAGCGGGAAGCCAGCGCCATCGCGATCGGCTGCTGAATGTTGCTGTTCAAGTTCATCTCTTGAGGTAGTGGTGACAAGCCCGCTAGTTGACGGCTGCAACGAAGCTCGTGCTCTTGCAGTTCTGTCGTTAGTAGACGGCTTCTCTCCGGTCTCGCTTGCAGTAGCCGGCTTCCCAGCAACTTCCACCACAACTGTGACGATGGAACACGTTTATTTACAGAATGGAATGATTGCTATAGGTAAAGCTCAGAGCTAGAAACAGGAGGCCGAGCTGCTCGTGAGCCAGACCTGCTTCAACCTTGTCCTCTTCATGCGCCGATCGAGGCGTGTCAATATGAATGAAGAAAAAGGTGGCATAGTGGAGGGTTCGCAAAGCAGCTGCTGCACAGGTTTGCCATTAGGCGACCTACAGCTAAGGGCTTGAGAAGTCGAAGCGAGAGGCAAGCGTTGTGCCGACCCAGGGATGAGAGCTCGAGAAGCTGTCATAACGAAGATTTAACGAAAGCCGCATCTCGCCACCACATTTTGTTAAGAGTGTTACCCAAAGCTGAACTGAAGAAGACAATGAAGTGCGCGCAAGAGCGAGAGAACGTGAAGCGCGTGAATTGGAGAACACGGACAGGCGAAGCCAGCATGGCTGGCGAAGCCAGTAACGCAAGAAGTGTGGCCTGAGGGGACCAAAACAAACCGAGCTGGTGCTACCAGACTAGCCGGGATGAGCTTGGCGGTTCCCCGTGGTGGGCGAATGTTCCGGTCCTGCTGTTCCAGCGTGTGAGCCAGAGCGGGCAGCTGATCCCAGCGCGGGTAATGTTCCGAGTGCAACCAGCTACCGAAGCCGCGGGCACGGTTCTGACTCGGCTCGGGCCCGGCGCAACTGCCTGCTGAGGGCGTGACCTTGGAATCACATGTGTTACAGTCCGACACAATCTCCTGTTGAGGGCGTGGCCTTGGTGCTGCGCTGACACATCGTTGTCTCACGCTTTCCCGAGCGAGAAGTCGCAGGTCTGCTCGTGGCCTTACAACAGACTTATCGCGTTGTCCCTGCTGCAAGCCTGCGTCAGCTGCACGGTCATCAGTACCGTGAGTAATGTCTACCAACCCATAGACTCCGTACTAGACAGAGCACAGGGATGTTCTTGTACGAGAAGTCGCAGGTCTGCTCGTGGCCTTACAACAGACTTATCGCGTTGTCCCTGCTGCAAGCCTGCGTCAGCTGCACGGTCATCAGTACCGTGAGTAATGTCTACCAACCCATAGACTCCGTACTAGACAGAGCACAGGGATGTTCACGTACGCTTACGGACGATCAGGACTAAGCATAGAGGAAGAGGGTTGTATATAGCAAGTATATATGTGTGTATTTGTCTTGTGTGAGTGTCTATAAACATTTTCTTGTCCTTGACTTAGTTCTGTGTCTGAGGGCTTACGAACTACCACACATATACAGTGACGAATAAAGTAGCTGTGAGTGTATATACTGTAGCATCCTCACCTTTTTCATGTCTTAACATGACAATCCGGAGGGTAAAGTGTACGGAGGATGCACTGTTTACCAAGTTACCTCTGGAGCTTTGCTCACTCATCATCAATCACCTCGTGGATATGCGGGGATTTTACATCAAGTTCGAATAGTATACATCAAATATTACAAAGAAAAGTGGGCATGTTTGTCATGATCTAACTAGCCTGCACAATATTTTTTTATTTGAAACAAGGTCAATGCAGAAGCACTTTTTTTCTTGCTTAGAAGAAAGTAGAAACAACTTTGAATAGTGCCAGGACTTGACTTTCAGTAAAATGCAAGTGATAACCTGCAAAATATGTTACGTTATAAAATTTACTATATTTAGAGCATAGAAGCCGGTATAACAAGCTCTTAAATTAAAGAAGAAAATGAAGCAAGGCCTCATGGCAGTGTAGCTTTCTCCGGAATACATGTTCGCACATCTTCACCGCAGTGAAACAATCTTTACAGGGGAGTTAAAGGTAAATTGCGGCTTAATTTACATTTACACAGGTGCTTTCGCGGCTTAGCAAACTTTCACTGCAGTGAAACAACCTTCACTACAGATTACATTTGGACTAACATGCATTTATTTGTATGTTCCAAATACTTTGAAATACTTATAATTTAAATTTCAATAAAAGTGAATTTAAATGCTGTAATATTCGTTCGAATATTCAAAACATCTGAATATTCCCACAGGCCTGAAAAAGGTGCACACACAGAATTGTTCTGATAAAGTGTTAAACAAGTAATGCCCATACATGTCAGGGACAATGGCAAAAGGGTTTGAACTCTACCAGTGGTACTTATACAAAACATAACAGGCCAATAAAAGCCAACAAAATTTTCTAAAAACACATACCTCATGTCGACAAGTGGCAGGAAGTCTGTCTCATAAAGTGGTTTAAGGCTAGGAAGGCTGTACACAACAATGTTGCCATTTGCAATGTAACACACCAAACATGCAGTATCTGTAAATGAGCAAGTAAGAAAAAAAAAACATGATGTAATGGCAGGTTAGAACCTCCAAACAAAAGTTGTAGAAATGTCACTCCTCACACACAAAAGCACTCAAGCGCAAACATTGCCTGCATGGTAGGGACATGCATACTGGCACGTTTTTGTCACTGGGCATAAACGAAATATTCTGAAAATATCGGATGCAAACATCACATATTACTAAAATTCCACTGGTCATGCCACCTATCACGACTTTATTTAGGAAGAATGTGAAAAATTAGTCAGCATGGGTCTACTTCATTCAGAAATTCATGAGGGGCAGCGTTTTAATGAGAAACTAAACAGGAACAATTTGTGCTTCCCCACATTAACAGCTTCTCAGTGAAATTGGCTTAACTGATATCATTCTAAAGGGTCCCTTTACCAGCTTTGAGAGTGGCAAATGAACAAGTGTGGCATGTAGACAAACTGGTGGCAATTGTTTCTACAAATTACAACAAACCTCTGCAGTGTGACAATAGTCTAAACATAAATTAGGTGCCTGTGTGTGTGTTATCTTTTTCGAGAGATGACAGGCCCTCTTTAAAACATCGTTCACTAACCGCGGCCAGCGAATTCGATTTATCACCCAAGGCACAGCCTACAATGCTAGTACGGTTAAACCGCTTTATAAGAGGCATGCTTCGGGCAGCTATTCTTGTCTTTTATGTGAGATGTCTTTTATAAGCAGGGTACTTGGTACGCATTTTCTTATCAACCCCTATCTTACTGTAGGCACACCGGTGTCTCTTATACCCATTCATTTCTTATATTCTCTTATAAAGGGCTAGACAGTACCACAAAATAAAATGGAAAGAAAAAAATTTGTTGACAAGTACGATACCATACAATGCAAACTCTGAGCGCAGCTGTTAAGGTGTTTTGATTTTGTGATAGGTTGAGCAAATGCACAAGCTTCAAGGAGAGGTGGCACAGCACGAGTGGTAGTCTGCTTCACGTCAATGTAACATGGTGAACCTGGCAGCACCAACTTCCGCTGCCACTGGCCGATGTGGCCGCTTCGTTAGACTATAAAGAACCCCTAAGAATCAGATATAGTGTTCCACACACAATGCCTCTTCAACTAACAACACACGTCTTGTTCTCCCAAGCCTTGCAGGTCAACCCACTTTTTCATGCACGCTCAAGAGAGGCAGCATGCGTTGCACTGTCAGAAGAAGTGCAAGCTGGCACGAAGTGGCTTGCTGGCTCTCACAGTGGAAAACGGCTTGGGAAATTCTTTCTTTTGCTCTCTTTCATTCTCATTCGTTCTATTGATTACGCTGAAAACCACAACGCTGCTCAACACAAACTGGGCACCTAAAACTGCACTCTAAAAATGGCGGAGGCTCGTCTCATGAGCACAATGTGCTCCCTCACATCCAACAGTTCGGAGTATGAAGCACTTGCGGATGCTGGCAGAGGCCGTGGAAGAGTGTCGAATGTGGCAGAGAAGCTTGCCTCCTAAAGGCATGGCAACAGTGCATTTTTAACTTCTTTCAACACACCCAAGAAGCAACAGACCCAAAAAATTATTTAGACTCATAACTTTCACCCTGTAATCAAAATTTACCATGAAGCCTGGTGACAGATTGCTTAAGAAAGTCTAGCTGAGTTAGACATTTCTCTATTTCACTTTATTTCATTCACACAGCTTGGCAAATGTACGTGAAATCTAGTTCTCTACTAGATCTCATCTTTGTCAGTGATCGTTTCCCATCAACGGATATCTTAATCGAAACCCTGGAGGGGTTATCTGATCACAAAATGGTTTCATGCAGCCTGCCTGTACGATGCCCCGCTCGCATGCGAGGGCTGGTTAAGTATGTCCCGGCGTTTCACAACGCCGATGACGGTGCAGTTATGACGTACTTAGAGCATGAATTCGACAACTTTCTCGATATGTGTGCTGATGAGTCTTTGGTGATTGACGTAATTTGGGCTAAATTTAAAGCTATCATTACTCATTGTATGACCGAATTCGTTCCGCAGGTTGCTAAAGTCACAAAAAAACACAACCCTTGGATCACACGTGACATCATTCATACTAAACGTAAAATAAAAAGACTAAGAAAATCTAACAAATCAAGCCCAGTCTATGGGTTCCAAGAAAAAATAGCTTGCTTGTCCCGGTCATTGAGGGTAAAAATCCGTTGTGCCAAAGAGAACTTCTGCAGCACAACACTAAGTAAGTTTATAAGAGAGTCGCCCCAGAAGTTCTGGCAATATCTTGGTTCAAAAAACAACCTCCCTACTGTCGTTTCAGCGGAGCAGGAATTAATGAAAGCTAATTCATTTAACACTTACTTCCAGTATGTTTTCACAGCTGACAATGGTAAACATACGTCGCTTCTGTTTCGGGGTAAAAACTTAAGCGCTTTAAGCTTGCCTCAACTGTCTGAGCCGGGTTTGCTATCACTGTTATTGAACATTGATGGGAAAGAAGGTAGTGGACCCGACGGGATTCCCAATGCGTTTTTAAACCGTTTCGCTGAATCTGTGTGTAAATACCTTTTTCTTATATTTTCGATATTGCTTAAGGATTGCCAGGTTCCATCGGAATAGAAAATTGCAAAAATTCTTCCCATTCACAAAAGTGGTGACTCGTCCATCTAATTACAGACCAATTTCTATTACGTGTACTTCCTGCAAAATGCTTGAGCATATTATTCTAAAGTCCCTTACCGAATACGTGGAAGAAAATGCTATTCTCCATTCCAATCAACACGGTTTTCGTCGCGGACTATCTACTGTCACACAGTTGGTTGAGACCTTGCATGTCCTTGCCAATGGCATTAATGATCAATCACAGATTGACGTAGTCTTTTTAGATTTGTCAAAAGCTTTTGACCGTGTAGCCCATCCCAAACTGATCCAAAAGCTAACCGGTATACTGGGAAACGGACCTATGACCAAGTGGATCGAACACTATTTGACCGACCGCTACCAATTTGTTCAATATGGTGCACATGTGTCTGACACAGTTCCAGTATTATCGGGTGTGCCCCAGGGTTCTGTTTTAGGCCCCATGTTGTTTCTTCTTTTTATTAATGATGTTGCTGACGTAGCCGATATAAAAATCAGATTGTTCGCAGATGATTGTATTATGTACCAGCGAATAGACAGCTACCAAGATCATTTAAAACTAGATGATTCGCTAAAAAAGGTCGAAACCTGGTGTCGAGAATGGCAAATGGAAATAAATACTGAGAAAACTGTCGCCATGTCAATTACAAAAAAAAGTGAGGGCAAATTTTTCCTATTCGCTGGGAAATGTCCCACTTCGCAACGTCGCTGCCAGCAAATATCTAGTCATCTTGATATCGTCCGACTTAAATTGGACTGCGCATGTCGAACATATTACAAAGAAGGCACTCGGCAGGTTATTATTTGTTAAGCGAACCCTTCGTCATTCGACACCCCAAACAAAACCTTTAGCGTATACCAGGCTTATCCGCCCAATCCTCGAATAGGCGAGTGTGGCCTGGTTCCCCTTCGCAAACAAACATGTAGCCGCCTTGAAAGAACACAACGTAAAGCAGTCCGTTTTATCTATAACCATTATAGGCGTACCGACTCACCTACTGCTCTTTTGATAAGAGCGGATCTGCCCACCCTGGCGAGCCGCGCCAAGCTTCATAGCCTGAGATTTTTGTATCTGGTGCTACACACTCTTTGAAAATAAATCTGGCTAATTATGTTAAGGTTAGCAGTAAGCGCCAAACACGAAATAAACATTGTCACACACTTGATGAGTATTCCTTCAAGAACAATGTTTTTGGCCACTTTTTTTTTGCGAGCCATACGCGCTTGGAATGCCCTGCACCCCACCGTGTTGACACAGCCGACAGTTGATGAATTTGTTAATCGAGCGAGTGAATGGGTGCTGACTTTTATTTAGCCGTGATTTCCTGAATTGATGATGTCGCAAGTTTTAACTCTGTCAGTACAATTTCGTTTTGTATTTGTTTTTTGCTTGCCCCAGCATTTCATCTGATGTTTATATTTATAAAGACTCTTTGCCTATCACAACGGCGAATTTTGCACTATGTTTGAGGAGCTCGCTTCAAATTTCAAGTGCTTGCAACATGTATTTTTAGTCTGTGTATTGCTTGTTTTAATTATGTACAATGTGACACCACTCCTGTAATAATCCCATCACGGGATTGACAGTATTCCGAATAAATAAATAAATAAATGCTCCTGTGCCACACTTTTATAAGCAGCCGGCATGAGCACGTAGGGCATTCGCAATCAACGCCCGAGACGTGAGCAATAATGAAAGGCAAACATCCTGCGATTGAGGCCCGTATCAGTAGCACACAATGTGGATAAAAAATTTACACTTCCGGACATGGCACACCAGTCTCACCGAAATCCGCAAGCGAGATGTAAAACTTTCCAAATAAGGCATGTACAGAATATACTTTCATAACAGCAAAGCTTTGTGGCTTCCCTATTATGGCTACTCTAAAAGCTTACATATACACATTAAAAACTACACCCGACAATCTTCAGTCATCTTTGTAAGCTTAGTCACGTTCAGCCCCGTATTTTTTTTCTTTAGGAGCAGTAACACCTTCTGGTAGGCCGGTTGGCTAATTGCAACGTGATGTTCTTAAACTGCACAAAATGACAAAGACACAAAGAAAACACAGAACGACGCTAACATAGGTGTCGTTCTGTGTGTTTTCTTACTTGCGTCCAGGTCTTTCCCCGCAGTTTGAGAATGCTTATGAGGATGTTTGTGTCTTGGCATTTTGGCGATTCAGAAATGAGATGCAACCTCCCGTCGTCAACATATTGATAATTTTCTTATTATTTTTGGAGCTACTTCCAGATCAGTCGGAAGAGAACCAGAAACTCTTCTATTGCAGATTGTGACTGTACTCACCAATGCTCTTGATGGAGAGCACCTCAGCACAAACAACGAAGGAAGTCTCTGTGAGGGTCGCCTTGTACAGGCACGTCTGGGAGGGCAGGGCCACAATGCGCGCTTGCTTTTCCGAGGCCATCACCACAAACTGGGTGTCCCGGGGCTCCAGCGACTGGGACGTCGTGGGCGAGATACGGGAACCCCGCGATGGCATACTGCGCAACCGTCGATCGTCGCGCTCCTTCGAGTCTGGTCTGTCCTTCCACTGTTCACTCAGCGGAAGCATCAGCACGCCACTGCTGTCCAGAAAGGAGATGGACAGGATGGGGCCCTTCAACCGAAATATGCTCCCTGCATGCAAAAGGACAGAACAAGAGCTCTGCATTGAACGGATACCACCGAACAACACACAATTTCTTCAGTGAGACATTCTTTCTCAAACTCTCTATCTCTTTGGTGCAAATATATCGAGAGCTGGGTGCAGAAAACCAATATCTCTGCGTTGACATTTTACATGAAATAAATACCATGCCAGCTTTTACAGGAGCTTCGCGTTTCCAAGCCACTGTGCTACTAACTGCCAAGAGTAACAACATATACAGTAAACTCTCATTGAACAGAACTTGACGGGACCAGGAAAAATGCATCCTATTTAACAGTAGTTCTGTTTACTGAGAGATGAACAAGAGAGCAGAATAAAAGTACAAAGCATGTCATCTTAGAGGTGCTTGTTTCATTTAAGAAGCAGTTCCGTTTATAAGATTTCTGTCAGCTGAGGGTCTACTAAATATAGTTATGTATGCCAACTCCTCCTCTTGAGCGATGCTGCATTGCTCGATACTCCGTACAATATTCAAGTTGCCGTAGAAATTGAATGTACTATGACACGAGGGCCCCAATAAAACAAGTATATAAAAAGAACATTTGTGTACCATTCACTCCTGAAAATTCAAAATGGTTTACACACAGATGCAAATGGATACGGTCCCTTTACAGAAAAACATAGGTGACACACTCACAGTTGGTACAAATGTTGATGCCACATGCATTTGGAATTTATTTGCAGCTTAAGGCGCGAAAACGACACGGACGAAGAGAGACAGTACACACACACGGAGCGCCACTTCCAACAAAGATTTATTTCGAAAGAGCACAGAACATATATAGACACCGCGCGCGCCGTCACCGTGCCTTAATGCGCAGCCGCATTTAAGTAGCGTAACTCCTTTGGCGATAAAGAAATGGAGGCTACGCTGACGCACAGATCACCTAATTCGATTATTCTCTTGGCCTCAATGATTAGTCTTACTGATTTATCAGGGCTTCGGGCGACTACCGCGCAGGCGCTAAAGTTAGGAACGCAATGACAATCCCGGCAGTGAATTGCGAGGTGGCCCTCTCTGCCATTTCTGACGTTGTTATTATGCTGTCTTAGCCTATCATTCAGGCATTGCTCGGTATGGCCTACGTACCATCTACCACACGAACAGGGGAACTCGTAGACCACACCCTTCTGACAAATTACATACTTGTTCTGGTGGTTCACATTGCAGGCCGGAGCTTTCCTGAGAAAGGGGTTAGTCAACTTGCAGAGCCTGGAAAGTTTTAACGGCGCAGAGAAGACCACCTTTACATCAACCTGTTCGGCAATCTTTTTCAGATTATGGGATACGCGGTGTATATAAGGAATCACAGCAAGCTTAACATTATCCTGGGGTGACCCTTCGCTTGTGTGGCAGTTCCGCGACTTCTTCAAAATCTTCTCCGCCACTGACACCAAAGTGTGCTGTGGATAGCCCGCCTGCTCAAGACGGTCAACCTGCTTGAGGAAACTGTCTGCTGCTCTGTGTGGGCAGGATTTCTTGAAAGCATTCAGCAGGCACATGTTGGCGATGCTACGTTTGACAAGCTTAGAATGGGACGAGCTAAAAGGTAGTAATGGTTTGTTAGCACGAGGCTCATACTGCCAACATGTATGATCAGTTGTTACAAACAATCTAAGATCTAAAAACCTTATAGTCGAATCGACCGAAAGTTCGTGTGTCACTATTAAGGGCGATAAAACAAGCCTAAAAATTGTTAAGGTGTTAGTAACGACTTGGTCGGTGTCCATGAACTTTTTGTCTATGAGAACTAAAAAATCATCTACAAATCTAAAAACCCTGATGACACCGCTACCTTCGAGAAGGCTAGAAATGGTCCTGCCTGCGCGAGCTAAAAACAGGTCACTTAAAAATGGCGCTAAACAGGAACCTATACAAACGCCACTCTTTTGCAGGTATAGGTTACCGTCCCACTCTACAAAAGTCGACCTCAAATACAATTCTAGCATTGCCATGAATTTTCCCTCTGGTATACCTGCGTCATTTTGAAATGACAGGGGGCCGTATTGGTCAATGCTGTCCTGAACACACTGAAGCAACGCATTTTTCGGTATAGAATAATACAAGTCTTTCAGATCAATGGAAAAGGCGTCGAGGGCTACCCCTACTTGTCCGGCAAGAAAGTTACTACTTCGCTGGAATCTTTCACCCGATAGGGATCGTCAACCTTAAGAAGCCGGAACTTATCGAGCAGGAAGACGGCAAGGCATTTCTGCCAAGTGTTACGTTCTGACACGATTACTCTGAGGGGGCAACCCTCCTTATGAGTCTTTGCACTGAAGAAGACCTCGAGAGTGCCTGATTTGCTGTTTGCGACGTCCCTAACCAACTTTGAAAGGTTCATACTCTCACATAGTTTTTTAGCTTCACTTTTTAGTTTGTTGATCTGGACGTTCTCGCGGCATTGAAATACAGAACTCAACGCTTCAAGCGCTTTCACCTTGTAAAGGTCCCGTGGGAAGACGGCGAATCCACCTTCCTTGTCCGAAGGGAGAACGCAGTATGAGTTCGTTTTCAGGTAGGACGCCAAACGACGAACAATAGGACGCCTTGGTTCCCGTTGGTCACGTAGAAGTACATCTACACCACTAGAAACACATCTATCCATTTCACTCGCGGGAGCTAGGCCAGACACCTTGTGCACCAAGGAGAGCAGCTCCGGACCGGAGGTCCGCGGCTGCACGGCGAACTTTGGCCCTAAGGCGAGACCCTTGCAGATATCCTCTGGTAACGTGACGTTTCCTTCGGTGTAGATTCTGTTCACTTGTACCGTTTTCACTATTGGACGATGATGTGCTCGCAGTTGTGACAAAGTGCACTGCCAGAGGGATTCGGTTGTCTGATTGGCCAGATGACTGAAATGCCGAAACGCCCGCTGTGCTTGCTCCGCTCCCAATGAGCTGTGTAGTTGGCCTTCAAGGTGTATTCGGTAGAGGCGTGCCTGCCTTGACCATTCCGACTTGAGGATGCTGCAGATGCGCTTCCCATGACCCATTGAAGGGCTGAAGCCTCCGAACAGTAGCCTCACGTCCTCAGGCAAAATCCGGTGACGATTGCAGAAAGACAGCATGCGAGCTTTGCATGTGGCGACGGCGATCAACGCGACTGTGGTGCTTGGATTGGAAACACATAAAAGAGAGCCCGATGTACTAGAAATATACGATGTAAGAATAGCAGACTGGGCTTGTTGGTTTAACATATTTGCAGCTTAAGGCGCGAAAACGACACGGACGAAGAGAGACAGTACACACACACGGAGCGCCACTTCCAACAAAGATTTATTTCGAAAGAGCACAGAACATATATAGACACCGCGCGCGCCGTCACCGTGCCTTAATGCGCAGCCGCATTTAAGTAGCGTAACTCCTTTGGCGATAAAGAAATGGAGGCTACGCTGACGCACAGATCACCTAATTCGATTATTCTCTTGGCCTCAATGATTAGTCTTACTGATTTATCAGGGCTTCGGGCGACTACCGCGCAGGCGCTAAAGTTAGGAACGCAATGACAATCCCGGCAGTGAATTGCGAGGTGGCCCTCTCTGCCATTTCTGACGTTGTTATTATGCTGTCTTAGCCTATCATTCAGGCATTGCTCGGTATGGCCTACGTACCATCTACCACACGAACAGGGGAACTCGTAGACCACACCCTTCTGACAAATTACATACTTGTTCTGGTGGTTCACATTGCAGGCCGGAGCTTTCCTGAGAAAGGGGTTAGTCAACTTGCAGAGCCTGGAAAGTTTTAACGGCGCAGAGAAGACCACCTTTACATCAACCTGTTCGGCAATCTTTTTCAGATTATGGGATACGCGGTGTATATAAGGAATCACAGCAAGCTTAACATTATCCTGGGGTGACCCTTCGCTTGTGTGGCAGTTCCGCGACTTCTTCAAAATCTTCTCCGCCACTGACACCAAAGTGTGCTGTGGATAGCCCGCCTGCTCAAGACGGTCAACCTGCTTGAGGAAACTGTCTGCTGCTCTGTGTGGGCAGGATTTCTTGAAAGCATTCAGCAGGCACATGTTGGCGATGCTACGTTTGACAAGCTTAGAATGGGACGAGCTAAAAGGTAGTAATGGTTTGTTAGCACGAGGCTCATACTGCCAACATGTATGATCAGTTGTTACAAACAATCTAAGATCTAAAAACCTTATAGTCGAATCGACCGAAAGTTCGTGTGTCACTATTAAGGGCGATAAAACAAGCCTAAAAATTGTTAAGGTGTTAGTAACGACTTGGTCGGTGTCCATGAACTTTTTGTCTATGAGAACTAAAAAATCATCTACAAATCTAAAAACCCTGATGACACCGCTACCTTCGAGAAGGCTAGAAATGGTCCTGCCTGCGCGAGCTAAAAACAGGTCACTTAAAAATGGCGCTAAACAGGAACCTATACAAACGCCACTCTTTTGCAGGTATAGGTTACCGTCCCACTCTACAAAAGTCGACCTCAAATACAATTCTAGCATTGCCATGAATTTTCCCTCTGGTATACCTGCGTCATTTTGAAATGACAGGGGGCCGTATTGGTCAATGCTGTCCTGAACACACTGAAGCAACGCATTTTTCGGTATAGAATAATACAAGTCTTTCAGATCAATGGAAAAGGCGTCGAGGGCTACCCCTACTTGTCCGGCAAGAAAGTTTACTACTTCGCTGGAATCTTTCACCCGATAGGGATCGTCAACCTTAAGAAGCCGGAACTTATCGAGCAGGAAGACGGCAAGGCATTTCTGCCAAGTGTTACGTTCTGACACGATTACTCTGAGGGGGCAACCCTCCTTATGAGTCTTTGCACTGAAGAAGACCTCGAGAGTGCCTGATTTGCTGTTTGCGACGTCCCTAACCAACTTTGAAAGGTTCATACTCTCACATAGTTTTTTAGCTTCACTTTTTAGTTTGTTGATCTGGACGTTCTCGCGGCATTGAAATACAGAACTCAACGCTTCAAGCGCTTTCACCTT